CCCCCGCCCCATGCAGCTGTAATTAGGCTGGGGATTTTTTAAAGCACTCATGTGCCACTGAGGTTGAGAGTCCTTGAAGTGAGGAAACCTAGGTGTTCCTTGGGGTTCTAGCACACCTGATTGTCAGGTCTGCTCTCCTACCTGGAGGCCCTTACCTACACCTCGGGCTGAGTCCGGCTGGCTCCCCAGGCCGTGACCTGCTTTCTCTCCACAGTTTGTGCAGAGATGCACCTCCAATCTGAAGGCAGCCCCCTCCCTGCCTCCCACCGTCTTAGCTATTTGGAGAAGTGAATTTGGGAGCAGGTTGTGGGCGTGCTAGTCACATTGGTGTCGCCACTTCCAGGTGCTGGAAAGATCATGCAAAACCATTTATACCAAAGGCTTAGATTATTAGGTTCTTCCTTTGCGGTTTCTTTTACGGTATTTCCTTGCAATTTTACCCTCTTTCGGACTCTGTTCAACTACTGAGATAATCACAGCTGAAATATGTGAATTTCATAGTTTATTGGTCTATAAATATTTTAACCGTTCATGCCTTGATCTAGATGCAGGCAGTGCTTTTTTTTTTTTTTTTGGAGACTATGAGTTTCAATTATTTTAACTTGCACACATCAGAAGTGTAATTTGTCCTGGCTGTTTAGTTATATAGGGGTGCGTATTAAGTATTGTGATGGACTGTGACATATGAGTACCCCAAAATCCATCTTTCACCCCTTGATGCCCTCCTCTGTAAAGTGAGGAGAAATTATGGGGTTCACAAAGATAAAAGTAGACAAGCAAAATGAGGTTCATCCATACAATGGACTATCATTCAGGCATAAAACAGAGTGAGGTTCTGATACCTGCTAACACAGATGACCCTGAAAACCATGCTCAGCGAACGAGGCCAGACACACAAGACCACGTGCTGTAAGATTCCAGTTCTATGAAGTGTCCAGAACAGGCAAATCCATTGAGACAGAAGGCGGAGTGGTGGTCACCAGGGCTTGGGAGGGGAAGGGGGAGTGACTGCTAATGGCTAAAGGGTTTACTTTTGGGGGAACGATGAAAATATTTTGGAATTAGATAGAGGTGATGGTTGTACAACACTGTGAGTGTACTGGATGCCACTGAGATGCATTAATTTTATGTTATGTGAATTTCACCTCAATTAAAAAAGTAACTATAGGGGCGGCCGGTTAGCTCAGTTGGTTAGAGCGCAGGGCTCATAACACCAGGGTTGCTGGTTCGATCCCCACATGGGCGCCTGAGATGCGCCCTCCACAACCAGATTGAAACAACTACTCAACTTGGAGCCGATGGATCCTGGAAAAACACACTGTTCCCCAATTAAAAAAAAAAAAAAGGTAAATATGTCAAGGACATATTAAAGAGAAAGGTGATGGCAGAGGGGCTGTACGTGCAAACCCTGGAGCTGAACTGCCTGGGTTTGACTCCCTGCTCTGCCACTTACAAGCTGTGTGTTCTGTACATGGTAATCCCCTTCCCTGGGCCTCCGTTTCCTCATCCGTAAAGTGGGGACAATAATATTCCAAGTGCTTGTGAGGATTAAATTACTTAATACATATGAGTCCATAGAATTGAGCCTGACACATCCTAAGAGTGATGTGTTAGCTATTTTGATTATTATTAGCTTAGAATTCCTGGCAGAGAGTAGATTTCCAATAAATGGTAGTTTTGGCCAAAGCTTGCTGTAACAAGGCCTGGCCAGCCAGCTGTCCTTGGGGCACTGCAGACTCATTCCCGAAATCACTTCCAGCCCCCGAGTTGGCAGGTTTTCAGGAGGGTTGTAGCCCTGGAGGAAAGCCAGTCCTGTCAGTGTCCTGCCCCCTGAACAGGGTAGGGAGGGGCTGGAGTCCCACAGTGAAAGCATTTACCAGAGGTGACAAGGGACACTAGGGCCCTGGGGGCGTCCATGGCAGAGCCAGACCTGGGGCCAGGCCCACCCAGCTGGGAACCAGTCACTCCACTGCAGCTGCTGTCCCGAAGCCATAGAGCAACGGATGGCGTGAACGCCAGACTGGCCTGCAGAGTAACATATTCCATTAGCCAGGCGCCACCCAGAGCCAGGTTTTAAGAGTTCAGAATGGAAGCTATAATATTTAAACAAGGTTTTTAATTGAGATTTCAAAAAATAGATCCTGCTTACTTTTTAAAAATTCTTACTGAGGGCTGGCCGAGTGGTGCGTCGGTTAAGAGCTGGCTTGGGACACCAGAGGACCCCGGTTTGGATCCCAGATATGAGGGCCAGTGACACTGCCCTCTACAGCTAAGATGCTGAACAACAGCTCAACCTGGAGCTGGGCTGCTGTGAGTTGCCCGTGGCGGCGTAGGCTGCAGCCCCTGTGGCAGTGAGTTGCCATGGGCTACCGTGTGTAGCCAGCAGCCAGCAGCCAGCGTGAGCGGCCCTCAAGCCGCACTGAGCGGCTGTCCAGAAGCCGGCGACTGATCTGCCTCACCTGGGAAGAGCGCAATGATGGTGCCAACTTGGGCCAGTGAAGCAACGTCCTCCACAACTAGACTGAAGAACAAAAGGACAGCAACTTGTCTGTTCCCCTTCCCCCAATTCCCCAGCGCTGTTCCCATCCCCCAATTCCCCAATAAAAATCTTTAAAAAAAAAAATTAAAAGAAATAAAAAAAAAAAAAAATAAAAAATAAAAAATTCTTATTGAGATATGATATACAGAAGAGTGCAGCTATCCTAAGTATCCAGCTCACTGGCGCTTTCACACACTGAACATCCTGAGTGCCCAGCACCCAGCCCCACAAACAGAACAGGGTCAGCTCCCCTGAGACCCCCCTCTGCTCCCTTCCACTCACTCCCTCCAGCCCCCACCAGAGGTAACCATGCTCCTGACTCCCAATGTGTATAAGTTACCTGTGCTCGTGACTAATTACCCCAAACCTAGCAGGTAGAACAGCACACACTTGCTGTCTTGTTTCCTTTGCTGAGTCTGGGCGTGACCTGGCTGGGTGCCTGCTCTGGGCCTCACAGGCCATATTCAAGGTCTTGGCTGACTGGGTCTTTCTGGAGCCCAGGATCCTCTCCCAGGCTCCTGTGTTTTTTGGCAAAACTCGGCTCCTTGTGGCTGTAGGACTGAGGTCCCGATTCCTTGCTGGCTGTCAGCTGGGGGCTGCACTTAGCTCCAGAAGTCCCTGTAGTCCCGTGCCTTGTGGCCCCCTCGCACGTGGAAGCTGACTTCTTCAAGGCCAGCAGGAGACTCTGTCCTCCAGTTTGCTGACAGGAAGTCTTGTATAACGTAACCTTTGACATTGCATCACCTTTGCTGAATACACTGGCTGGAAGAAAGTCTCAGGTCCCACCTGCACTCAAGTTGAGACCCCAACTCATTAGGGATCGTAGAATTCTGCCTTCCACAAACAGCATATACTAGTTTTGTGTGTTTTGGTACTTTACATAAAGGAATCATACAGTATGTGCTTTTCTGTGTGTTTGGCTGCTTTCACTCAACATTATGTCCGTGAAATCCATGTCGTGTGATAATGTGTGTGCATGTGCCCTGTAGTATTCCATTTGACGATTTATGGATCTGTGTAGCTATGGATGGGCACTTAGGTAGTTTCCAGTTTGGGGCTATTATGAATAGGGGTATTGTTAGCACTCTAGGATGCATAAACACACCCTGTTGGGTATTCATTATTGTAACTTCATAGAGCTTGCATCTGGCAGTATAAGTTGTCCTAGTTGTTCTTCTACAAATTTGTCTAAGTCTTATCAGGCCTTTCCATTTATTTGAATACTTGTTTGTTTGTTTTTAAAGATTTTATTGGGGAATGGGGGAAGGGGAACAGAGAAGTTGCTGTCCTTTTGTTCTTCAGTCTAGTTGTGGAGGACGTCGCTTCACTGGCCCGTGTTGGTATTATCATTGCGCTCTTCCCGGGTGAGGCAGTCACTCACCGGCCATTGGACGGCCGCTCACAGCGGCTCACGAAAGCTCACGCCAGCTGCTGGCCAGCCCCACTGCAGCCTACACCGTTGCCGGTGACCCACGGCAGCCCAGCGCCAGGTCGAGCTGTTGTTCACCATCTTAGCTATAGAGGGCCCAGCATCACTGGCCCTTCATGTGGGATCCGAACCAGGGCCCTGCTGCTCAGAGCTTGTGCTCCCAAGCCAAATCTTAAACAACTGAGCCACCGGCCGGCCCCTATTTGAATACTTTTTAATTTCAAATTATCAAATGTGCAAGGGAGAAAAAACGTGTCTATATGTTTGGGAGAAGAAACTGGAAGGCTGTATACAGAAATATTAACATATTTCTATTTTGCACATGTCTTATTTTTACCATTTTTTTAAAATAAGCTGAATTCCTTCTGAGGTCAGTAGAAAGGACACTCTCTCCCAGATAGCTCAGGGGTCCTAATCGGACCTCTCAAAGCCCCGGTGACACCAGGTTTGTTCACCTCAGGGCCGTGGTGAGAAGAACCGAGAGCTTGCCTGTCCTTTTGTACACGTGCATGGTTATGAAATGATTTGGTGACTTCCTTGTCTTTCGGCAGGACCGGGCGGTTGCCATGAATACAGTATCTGAAACTCTCCAGGATATTTTGAAGCACCTGGTCAGTTCCGCATCCCCATCGGTGGTTCTGAGCACCCGGCCTGCGGACGTGAAGGAAGTGCAGGTATACCCGTTCGAGGGGTGTGAGCGCGTCGTGACCTTGCCAGGAAACGTGCGTGGTCCAGCTCGCTGGAGACTATGTGTGCATTTATGATGTTCCGGCACCCCGCCATAACAGAGCAAGATTGCATGAATGCTGTTGGTCGATAACGGCTGTGGTCTGGAAGCTTGAGTTCAGTGCACAGGGTTCCGAGGCGCGATGGGCTGGAAGGAAGAGGCAGTTGGGCCCCTAGCATTGTCTGACCCTCCGCTGTTTAAGGGTCAAAACGTGACTTTTCACTGTCCACTCAGACCCTGTGGTCTGGGACCTCATCCTTCTGTGACCGAGGTACCTGGGACACCCAATTAGCAATGAGAATGTGCCCCCAAAGCAGGCATACTGGATGGACACACTGTTTAGCCTAGGCTGGGGACACCCTGATGACCTCCCCTGCCTCCTGGAAGCTTGTCGCCTGTGGGCATTGTGGACGCATGAGGCGATCTCTGCATGGCCCCATTTTCCATGCTACCTGCCAGCCCCCCATTCTGGGGCCCCTTTCCTCGCCTGACTAGGGCGCTGCTGCTTTGGCTGAGTTCATGTCCAGGATATTGGCCATGGTTGGGGTCACTGGGCTTGGTCTCTCACATCTCTATTGGCAGCACATCTAAAACCCTTTCCTTAGGGTGACTTAATTCTCCCAATTATGAGCTCATCTTTTATTACGATTATGTAAGACATGCCTTTATAGTCCCTAGAGTTATTTTTCATGCATACTTTCGGTATTTTTATGTGGCGTGGTAGACTATCTGTCTTTAATAGGTTTTGGTGAAGTCATTTAGAAAATATAACTTCTAAAATGAATTTTTGATGCAGGCTGTTGGTCTCTGGTTCCCGTTAGGGTGGGTAGCACCACGTTAGCGTGTAGCATCTGCAGACAGAATCCATTGGTTCACTGGACAAACATCAGTTGATCACAGTGTGCTGTGATAAGCTCTGGGCACTGGGGGTGACAAGAAGGGACAGTTGGGAAAGCAGACAAGAGAAGTGAGGTGCTGTGGGTGTTTGTGCAGGCTTGCCGGAGTTGGAGGCTCAGCCCCCCCGCAGTGAGAGGGGGTTGGTCCAGGCTCCCCTCTCAGCTGCTCTCCCTTTCAGGAACTCTATCCGTGGTAGTAGTTTATATCAGAGGTACCTGACTGTTTTGCACATGACAATTTTTAATGCCCAAATTTGAGGAACTTTGCAACATGGTGTACTTTTAGGATACGTGGAATTAGAAGATAAAAAGACCCAAACTACCAAAATTGAACGAGGCTTTTAAATAAATATGTAGAGTTTACATATCAAAATAGCATATAAGGGGTCTGACAATTAAGTTCGCAAACTTGTTGCAACGATGTTGGTAACCTTTTTTGATATCAGAGGGATGATTCATTATGAATTTGTACCAACTGGACAAACAGTGAACCAAGTTTACTATTTGGAAGTGCTGAAAAAGTTGCGTGAAAAAGTTAGACGACCTGAACTTTTCGCCAACAATTCATGGCTCTTGCATCACGACAATGCACCAGCTCTCACGACACTGTCTGTGAGGGAGTTTTTAGCCAGGAAACAAACCACTGCATTGGAACACCCTCCCTACTCACCTGATCTGGCCCCCAATGACTTCTTTCTTTACCTGTAGATAAAGGAAATATTGAAAGAAATACATTTTGATGACATTCAGGACATCAAGGGTAATACGATGACAGCTCTGATGGCCATTCCAGAAAGAGTTCCAAAATTGCTTTGATGGGTGGACTAGGAGCTGGCATCGGTGCATAGCTTCCCAAGGGGAGGACTTCGAAGGTGGCCATAGTGATATTCAGCAGTGAGGCATGTAGCACTTTTACTAGGATGAGTTCGCGAACATGATTGTCAGTCCTTGTATATTGTATTGGTCAGGTTCTCCAGAGAAACAGAACTGCTAGGACACATATACATATATTCAGCTTCCATAATGGCGTGACCCAATTCCTTGTAGTCAGTCTCTGTAGAAGGACTTGGTTATGGAAGCTGACAGTCCCGGTTCTGCAAGGTGAGTCAGCCAGCTGCCGACCCAGGGGAGCCAGTGATGCACTCCCAGTCAGAAGGCCCGCAGGCTTGAGACCCAGGAAGAGCTGGTGTTCAGGTTAAGCCCAAAGGCAAGAGAAACCTGATGGTCCAGCTCGAAGGCCGCCAGGCATGAGGAAGTCGGCCTTTTGCTCTATTTAAGCCTTCAACTGATTGGACGAGGCCCACCCACGTTAGGAAAGACAGTCTGGTTTACTCCATCTGTTGATTTAAACATGATTCTCATCCACAGACCAGCCTCACAGAAATACCCAGAATAGTGTTTGACCAAATCGCTGGGCACCCTGTGACCCAGGCAAGTTGACACGAAGTTAACCATCACACGTACACAATTGAAGGAGACGTGTGCGGCCTGCGGTGCCCCAGTGAGCAGACCCGGATCTGAAGGGTTTTCGCAGTTCCTTCTTGGGCTCCCAGCACTCGCGGCTCACAGCTGGCACGGCCCTGGTTCAGCGTAGTGATTTCTAAATGGTGACATAAGGAACGCTAGTGTCATGTCAGTAGTTACTTAGCACCCCCCTAAAGGCGTTCTGAAGTCACATCAGCACCCAGAATCCCTCCCTAGAAAGTTCTGTCTGCGTAGAGGCCCCTGACACCTCTGAGACGCCTTTCCAGGATTCCCACATGCTTGTACCTGAGGAGCCCCTGTGAAAGAACGCCCGCACACGAGTGACAGTCGCGGGCTACTTTGGGAAAGGCCGGAGGGAAGGTGGGGGCCTCCAGACGTGGGGAGGCTTTCTGTTGGAAACGCCTTGATGCCGATCTGAGGACACGATGACGGAAGCTGGCCCCAGCTGCACCTGCCTCTGTCCCCTCGCTAGCGCCACACCTGGACCCTACCTAGATATTCCCCACGTGGATGGTGGGTCTGCCTGAGGTGGGATGTGGTCCCAGGCCCTGGCCATTCGTGTCTGGCTGGTGTTTCACTCGGTGCTTGACCCCTGCAGCCGGGAGGTCATGTTCTGTCTTAAGTGCCTGGTGTGAGTCAGGCGTGGACCCTCATGGTCACCCCAGCCTCTACTCACAGTGGGCTGGTGGCTGAGTGGATTGCCACGCCCCTTGCTTTCTGTGGGATCTAGAAGGCTCCTAAGCAGGGAAATGGCTCTGGTTGATGGCACCCAACCTTCCCATAAGAAGCGAGCACTGTCACAGCGCAGCCCAGGGTGCAGGCTCTGGTGGCTGCCGCCTTGGTCCTCTGCCTGCCCGTGGGTCACTGCTCGTCCTCTCCCTGCAGAGTCTCCAGTGCACATCATCTGCTCCCCAGGAGCCCTGTCCCCCCAAACCTCCAAGGGCTCACGAACTCAAGCTGCTGGTGAAGAACATCCGAGCCTCGCTGCTAAATGACCCTGGTGCTTCAGGTGGGTGACAGTGCCTGCAGAGCTCCGGGGGGACGGCAGGGCGCCTGGCTGGCCATAGAAGTGACGGTCCTGCAGCAGGAGCTGACGGAGGGTGACCTGTGGGTTCTCGGTGGCCTTTGGTTTCCACTGGGGTTCCTTCCAGTTGGGTCTGCAGTGTGATCCCTGCCTTTGAGTCAAGAAGAGCCCCCCGAAAACCACAACAGGGATGCGAGACCAGCAGAGCACAGCCCAGGTTTTGCATACGTGGAGCTGAGGGAGGAAAGAAACACAGTTGCAGCTTTGCCCTTTTTCTTTAGTGTAGAAGGCACCTCCTTCCCTCCCTTCCTCCCTCCCTGCCTTTCTCCTTCCCTCCTTTCCTTCTTCCTCCCCTCCCCTATTGAACCTGTAGATTCATGCTAAGCCTCCTCAATTGACCTGCTTTCCTGGAAGGTAAGGTTACCACACTGGCGGTTTGTGGGTGTCAGCAGGGCTTCGGGTCCGTCGGGGAGCCTTCAGTGCAAGGAGAGGCTGCTGAGTGATGACAAAAGTTATCCCCAAAACGGGTAACTTTTCAAGGGGCTCTGAGTCTGCTGGGACCTCAGATGCAGTAGCCTGGGACATGGGATGGGACACAGTTCTCTACCTCTGTTCGACGTTGTTGAGACATCCCTGTTGCCTGACAACGTTAGGGGTTTCTTACATTTGTTTCCAAGGACCTTCTTCCGATTCCAAACGCGCAGACAGGCCGCATTTAACAACCCAGAGTCGGCAAAGTGGGTTGTAGGTGATGGTTTTGGTGACCGTCTGAGGCCCCACGCTTAGCGGCTGAGAGCGGGCTCCCTGGAGCCTGTCGCTGGGGTCGGGGCCCCCATTCCTCACCTCTGCCAGCAGGTCCCCGTCTGGGTCCGTGTCTCCCTGGAAGGTGATGGTGCAGATTAGTAAGATGCTGTGTGTAGCACCCAATACCACCTGGTACACGGTAAAGGGCCGAGGTGGCGAGGATTAGTCATCATCCAGAGCCGTCACTCTGTGCCGAGGGGCGAGCATGTCCCAGAAGCAGAAGCAACTGTTGATAGTGACGTGTCCCGTTATCTGGAGCAGACACCCCAGAAAAGGCTGTAACTGAGCTGAGTCAGGTATAAAAACACACAGTTGTTGTTTGTAGGATTCTCTGTGAGTAATCCCCAAATATCAGAGTCACCCCAGATACCCTTCCTTTGGCAAGGGGTTAGTCTTGTCTGAGAGTGGGGGGCCACGTTTCTGCTGTAGTAAGATCACCCCCAGGGAGGGTCTCCCACCAGGAGGCTGTGCCTGCAGACAGAACCGAGAGACAGCAGAGGCACTTGGGGTCAGTCCTGGGCTCTGGGCATCATTGAGGGTAGACCACCTTTAACACCAAATGAGTGGGGTGCTTTGAGAGTTTGTAAATGGAAGAAAGAATGGCCCCTCAGACTGGGTGAGCAAGACCTTAGACATTTTATCCAGACCTCCTTTTACATGCAAAAATGTCTGACAGCAATTAAGGAACAAAAATAAAAGCTTCTCCTTGGCCCTCTGATTACAGGCAACGTGAACCTACTGTGTACAGTTCAGCTGAATGACCCCGTTCAGAAGCTGTCCACCGCCCTCCCGAAAAACACTAGTGACCTCGCCTGGGAAGAAGAATTCACCTTGTACGTACAGCCCGTTACCATGGGCTTGGGTTTCCACAGCTCACCTGTTCAAGGCTGCCAAACCCTGAGATCATTTTGTAGCATTGTGCAAACCAAAAAAAAAAAAAAAAAAAAAGTTGAAAAAAAAAAATTTTTTTTTAAGTGTGTTGAGGGGCGACCAGTTAGCTCAGTTGGTTGGAGTGTGGTACTGATAACACCAAGGTTGTTGGTTCAATCCCCGCATGGGCCACTGTGAGCTGCACCCTCCTTAAAAGAGTCAACTATGCCATTGTAGCGTGAAAGCAATGTGTAACCAATGACCATGACTGCTCCCCAGTAAAATTTAACAACAACAACAAAAATATATTGGCCATCTGAGGTCGCTTTAAGTGAAACGTGGATTTCTTTTTGAAGGCAGATCTTAGTATCAATTTCTTCCTCACCTCCATCCATGCCCTGTTGTGACAAGAGGGAACTGTTAATATTACTGGGTTGGTTAGTAAGAAATTGGCTAAATAAAATCTCATAAGGCCGAATAATAGGACACTAGATGCCTATGAAAAATGATGCTGCTCTGTAGTTATTGCCATGGAAAGATGTCCGTGATATCTTAAGTGAAGAGAATAGGTTACAAAGACGAAGGGAGTTATGTTCTATATTTTTATATGTTTTTAGACAATTACATCACTAGCCTTCTCGATAAAGTAACTCATAGCCACATGTGGCTCTAAATTTCAAGTAACTGAAATTAAACAACGTTAAATCCAGCCCTCAGTTTGCACTGTCCACATTGCAAGTCCTCAGAAGCCATCTGTGGTTAGTAGCCACCATATTTGGTAGCACCTATATAGAATATTTCCATCATCGCCCAGAAAGTTCTATCGGGTGATTCTAGGAGCCTAGGCACCAAGTAATACCAGCAACCGTTTCTGGATAGTGAGGCTGCAGACGATCTTTATAATTTTGGTTATGTGTCTCTCTAGCGTTTAACAATATTGATGATGGCTTTCTGTTCCTTTCTATAATCAGAAAAAAAATACGATTTCAAAACTAATAAAGCGTTTTTAAGGATTCACAGCTGTTTCTCCTTTCCACAGCGAGCTGAATGCCAAGTCGAAGGAATTGTACCTGCGGATTTCAGAAGATGGGCAGCCCTCAGAAGGTGGGTGGTAACCAGGTGGAGCCCTGCTCCCTGGGAGGGTTATTTGTCTCCGACCATGACCTTGGCGAACTGGGGAGGGCCGGAGACCCAGAGAGGAGGCTGGCCCCTCCCCCAGACCACTCCTGGTCTGCCCAAGGGAATGTTTGATTGAAAGTCCGTTAAGCTATTAACAAGTTCATAAATTTTGGGAAAAAGAATATTCAACTGTTTTTTGTTTTTTGAGTTTCTTTGGTTTTTTGGGTTTTTTTTTTAACAAATATCCAAAATCTTTTATTAAACAGTTCGTGGCTTGGAGAAGCAGTTCTCAACCCTCTTAGCCTCAATTGACCTTTTTTTGTTTTTTTATTGTGACGAAATGTTTGTAACGTAACATTTATCATCTTAACCATTTTTGAGTGTAACTCAGTGGCATTAAGAATATTCACGCTGTTGTGCAGCCATCACCACCATCATCTCCAGAACCCTTTTCATCTTCCTAAACTGAGACTCTGTCCCCATTAAGCACCTCCCCCAGTTTCGCCCTCCCCCAGCCCCTGGCACCAGCATCCTACTTCCTGTCTCTGTGGGTATTACCTGGCTTTTCCTTGTAAAATAAGCCACAGTGGCTTAGGCTGGACACATGCTTTAGCTACGAGAAAGGAACCATGAGAGGGAAACCCACTAAGGCGAATGTGGACCTGTACGTGTTCCTGTGTGTAAGTCAGTAGTTTCAATATTTATTAGGTTTTTCGAATATCCCCATAAACAAACCAAAATCGGGATGGGGGCCCCCTTACCTGGCTTACTCAGCTGTGCAACCAAGTCATTTGGTTATCTCCTAATGTTAGAAAGACACAGCAAGAAGCCAGTCAAGGTTCTGGTTATTAGCAAGAATGCTGAGGCAACTTCCTTGATCCTTGGTCTTGAGATACCTACCTGGGCTGCTCCTGGGATAAGAGCTGACATTCCCTGAGCGGGCAGGTGTGGGAACACAGGGCAGGGCCACCGTTTGCCTGGAGAGAGGCCGCCTGGTCCATGGCTGGGGCCCCACCCCTGCTGGCTCCACCGGAATTTCATTCCTGTCTAGCCTGATGGGATCTATGAAATTCCAAACTTAAAAAAGCAAACCAAAGAATAACCACAGAGACTTTACTCAGACTCACATATATATATATTTTTTTTTAATTGGGGAATTGGATTGGGAACAGTGCTGGGGAATTGGGGAAGGGGAACAGACAAGTTGCTGTCGTTTTGTTCTTCAGTCTAGTTGTGGAGGACGTGGCTTCACTGGCCCAAGTTGGCACCA